AATGAGTGAATGAAGCCGAGATGCCATATCAAGGCCAATAACAACTCAAGATGCTTCTCTGGATTTTATCTGGAATCTCTAAATATATATTAGGAACACCAGACCAGATTTGGCAGCAATATTAAGGAGGAATGTTAGGCTTAATAATATGTAAGATAGATTCTGAGGAGAAAAAATTGTCTAACACGCCACAAGAAACCAAGTTTCCTACCAGCAGATCTAGCAATGGATTCAATATAACTTTTCCACTTCATGTCAGCGGAAAACTTTACACCCAGAAGGCGCAATGAGTCAATCTCTGGGACCATATGTGGCAGCAATTTTCAAAACATATTATTTACACATGCTTGCATATGTTTATAGTGTATATGATTACGTTCAAACGAGTCGCTTTGACGTGTGTCGTTTCAGCATCCTCGTTAACAACGTTATCTGTATTCAGATGGAATGGTTCACTACGAACTGACCAATGACAATCTCCATCGTTTGACGTCACAACGTCTTTTATTTTATTTTTTCCTTTCCCATGTGTTGATTCTTAGAACATTTGATGAAAGGTCTTGCCTGGAATTTCAACAAAAACTTAAGCAAATCAGAAATGACAAAAACCATGGCATTAGCTATTTTTTTTTTACTCCAAACTTGGCAAATAAATGACGTTTGACGTAATTATAGATTTTACTTCAGTAGAATTTCTTTTTTATTTTCTATTTATCCGATTGTTTATTCATTCGTACCTAGCATGTTGGTGCAGTCTTGCAAAAGCAGACCGTTTTTCGTAATTCCCACTCAATGTCTATGTAATAATTCAACAACGTTTTAACAAGTTGATAATTTTTTCTTAAGACAATTATTTCTTTTTTTTAAAATCATTTCACCGCAATCAAGGCAATAAGGTCACAGAGGCACAAGGGGTAACTGAGTGTGAAAGACTAAGAAAAAGAAAAAATTATCAAGGAACGAGGACAATAAAAGAAGAGAAATCAAGAAGACAGTGGATAACGATTGAAAATGCATTTAAACTTTTGAAGATCAAAGTTGGGCAGGAATAGAGTTCCACAAGCGAGAGAAGAAACTGTTAGCATAGAACCTACGGTTACATCTAGCTATTTCAACTGTAAAATGATGAGATCATGTTGCCAATCTAGTACTGCAATTAAATTCATAAAGTCTAGATACCATAGTGAATGATTCATCAGAACAATTACTATCAAAATATTTGTAGAAAAGGCGCAGGGAAGCTACGATGCCAGGTCAGGACTAATAACATTGCAGATTTTTATTTGGATTTTATCAAGAATCTCTAAATATATTAACAGCAACACCAGACCATATATGACAGCGAGATTCTGGCGAGAAAAATTTTCTTGCACGATACAGTGAACAGACTTTTCTAGTATCAGACATAGCAATTGATACAATATAATTTTCCCATTCTGTCTGTGGAAAACGTTGGGCCTGTCCTGGTTAGCATCAGTCATGCTGATGGAAGGCAGAACGGGCTCTCTCAGATGATTAATAGAAAGCAGTTTTATTTTGCAGGCGTTAAAAGCCGTTCCGTACCCCAGTGAACAGCAGCTTTTAGATCACTTTTGAGATTAGCTGCCAATTTGACCGTATTGAACCAATGAAACTTACTATTTTTATGATAGACTTTCAATATTTCAGAATTTCTTTTCATTTATATTTCAATTCTTCTCTTTTATGAATCGCTGCTTTATGAAAGAAGCTCACGAGTGGATACTTTTGCGAACGATACACTCTTGAACCTCACCTTGTGAAGGGTCAATCGTTACCAATCCTCCAGATACACAGAATCTTCACTTTCTCCACCCTTTTCTTAAATTCATATCATGCCTCTCATTCCTTCTCTCTCTCTCTCTCTCTCTCTCTATATATATATATATATATATATATATATATATATATATATATATATATATATATTTATTAAATACTAGTAAAAAAAATCTATGAGATGGCGTGCGTCAGGAGATTTTTAAAACTACTGCCGGCTTGCCAGGCCTATCTCATCAGTCGGGCATTTTGGGAACTGGTACATAGTGACGTCATCTTGACGATAGGAATTGTTGGAAAGAAATCAACTTTACATCGCAATGTCACATTATGGCATTGAGAAGTTAAATCATGATGTAATATATTATACAGAGCGATTTTCAATAAACAATACAAATTTCAAACAGTTGTCTTATAATTTGTGCCCAGCATTATTATGGTGTTATATAAACGTTTATTTATATATATATATATATATATATATATATATATATATATATATATATATATATATATATTGTTTTTATTAATTATGGACTAACATCTGTTTAAGATTTTATTCATTGATTCGCCTTTTTTGCAATCTTTTATAATTTTTACACAGTTTTCATTTTTCTAATACATTAGAAAATGCATATTTTGTTTGTGATGATATATAATTAGAATTTCTGCTTTGAATATATCATCCATTCAATGTAGTTAATATACAGAAATATCAACTTTATTTGGATTTATTCTTGAAATAATAAAATCTTGAAGTCAGTTTCTAAGTAAAACAACTGCGGAAATTAAACATTTTAGTACATTTTAAACATCTTTTAAACTAAATGCTCAAAAATTGGTAAAAGTAATAAATTTAATTTTGGTATCAGTACTTATCTAATCAAACCAAATATTATTTTTAACAATTTTTAATCAAAGCCTAGTTTCACAAAATGTTGATTTTTCTGAAACGTAAAAAATCAACCCGCCTTAAGCTAAAAGGTTTTCCAATCCTGCTTTTGAAATGCTTCTCCTAGACTGGACATATAAATTTGATAGAAGACCACTGTAATATTTTTTTTTTCAATTTCTTCATTTATTTTTCTTGTTTTCTTAATTTATTTTTTTTTACCGAGTGTAAAAAATAATTCCTGATTCTACAAGTAGTTAATTTAGTCGTGTTGGCGTTTTCTCCAATACAAGAATTATTTCATATTCAATGCGGAACAGAAAGTTCACAATTTTTTTAAAATAAAACAAACGCAACGAAATGAGACACATTGCACTACCTATGAAATCCATCACGACTACAATTGAAAAGCATTAATCTAATTACATCTGAAATATTAAGAGACTTAATTCATACAAAACAAAATAATAACATCTTTAAATCTGAAGCAGAAATGCAATCTATCGCCAGCAATGACTGCTACAAGGAATAAAGCGGAGAGACATCAAGAAATTTAAATAAAAGTTTATATGAAACGAAAAAGGGTCTTTTACAAAACAACACACTTAATACATTAGTCACTCACTGCAATGAGTCTGGCCATAATTTAAAGTTCACAAATATTACTTTAACTAAAAGAAAAGTTAATTTACTAAGGCGAACATAAACTAATTTCATCATCCAGTGTAGATTTTCCTCCAATATCTTAAAACATTTTATCTTTCTTGGCAGATACTCTTAGGACTATGTGTCCAGACACGTTTGATGAGAAAAAAAAGAAATTTAAGAAAAACCTCTACAAATTTTAAATTCATCGTTTCCCCTGTTGCAGTAATTATAATTGACAGCCGCGTTTATATCCACATCTTCCACTTCTGCACATATATATTCCCAACAATAAAAGAAAGAAAACATTGTTTTAGTCCGATCAAGTCCTTCTAGAAGATTAAATGCGTTACACAGAATTTGCTACTCAATTTCCTAACATTGTTCTGATTCATAGAAATGTACATTACCATATTCTCATATATTGCTGATACATCCTGATTGACAAGTGGACCAAGAGACTAGAAGAAAGTTGTACGAAACTACAGAATCGATATCCGAATATAACAACAATCAGCTGAGTGACAAATTTTATATATATATATATATATATATATATATATATATATATATATATATATATTGCGTTATGACTTTTGTAACCCTCTGTTCCTCTGTCATAGATCGGTGAACTTTTGTTCAAAAGAAATAAAAAAGACATTTGTTTTAGTTTTTATAAAAGATCACCCCAAACAGAAATTTTGATTTTACCATATTCGCAATAAAGTAAAAATGAAAATATTTCAGAAGATTTATTTTTCAGTTTATTATTATTGTAATTTAACATTACTTATGTTCTATTTACTGTTATTCCCAAATTCACTCTGACCCGCGGTGGTAGCACTTGTTAGGGTCCCGGCTATGGGCAAATACTGCACCGCAAACAAAAACAAAACCCTATAAAAGTATAAATATACATTTTTATAGTAAAATACAGGTTTATATAAAAACAAATGACCAACAATGCCTATTTATAGTAAAATTAACAACAATAGATTTTATAGCAAATACGAATAATATATTTTTTCTGTAGTTGAAGGCATACAATTGCGTTCAATACAATTAAATTACGGCAATAAATAATCCATAGAAATTGATATGCCACTAAACAAAATCAAGTAACCAACCAACATAAAAGAACACTTTTATGACATTAATTCATATAATATCCTACAATTTCTTAAATTAAAATGTATTCCGAAATATAACTTCAACGAAACAACTACATAAAACACACATATCACCGCCTCTAGTAATTATGTCCACACAAACATATATGCACAAATGCTGAGTATCATGTACCATGTATTTCTTTGAGAATGCAAAATAACGTATCTCATATTTTTCCTGAGAAAATTAAATTTCGGTATTGAATAATGTGCCGTTAAATAAACAAATCAATCAAGCAAGCTCTTGGAATCGTGTACCCTTCAGAAAACAACAGACATAATTTTCCCTTAGCTAGCTTACACTTCGTCCCCAGCGGTGGGGCGCTATGTAGAATTCAGCGGTAAGAGATGAGTTTCTTACTGCGAATGTCGTTTGCTCTTTACTTGACATAGTCTTATAAACGGTGAATGCTGAAGGATTTCCTCACAGATGAAGAGGGCACTTGAGCCAACAGAGATGTGGTACTATGGAAGGAGAATACCATGGACGGAGATTTACGGTGACATCACGTTGAAACACTGGTCCTCGTACGATCACCGAAGTTAAACAACGTCGAGCTTGGACATTACCTAGATGGGTGATCGCTTGTGAATACCAGATGCTGTAAACTTGGACGTGTGCGAGTGGGTTAATGGATAATGGCTTGAAATTGGTATTTGGAGAACCGAGTTTTAATTCCAACTGGGTACGTTATGTTCACTTGCGAACAAATACTTTTGAAAAGATATGACTCAACTGCTTCTCTCCCACAGCTGTGATACATGTATCTCTAAAATAGTATTATCTAAAAAAACATGATTACAATATAAACATATTTCATAGCTTTAAGTAACATGCAAAGGGTTGATAAGCCATAAAAATTCAACCGACAACCAAAAACGTATACGAAAAGGACACGTTTGTTAAGGATCAGCAAGCGATAGCTTCGGAAGTCATAATGAGGAAAGAGGGTTGAAAAGTTAGACACACATACGAAGGCAAAAGTAACTTCGAGTAAATCACCTTCACTCTTCCTGTTAACTCTTCTTATATTGTCCTTTTTCCTGACTAAAGCCCTTATCCTTTTTGTCCTTTTTCTTCACTAACATCTTTCGCTTTCAGTTACCTCTTCGTGGCATTATCGCCTTGCTTGTGATGAAATGGTTAGAAAAGAAAGTTACAAAAAATCTAATTTAATAATGTAAACAAAAAATCTTGTTTAAATGAATTTTAGAACAGAGAACGGAAGGAAGGGTAAAGTTACAAACATTGCTTAGAGCTAAAGGAAAAACATAGATTGGGGAGAGACTTAATCGTCCACGTCCTGAATGGACACGACAAAAAGAAGAAGAAGAAGAAACAAGAAGCTAGAGTGACTCCGTCTCTCAAGATACTTCTTCCCCGCAAACTGTGCAGGACATCCATACTTAAAGGATAAATATTTAAGCTGCTTTTTAAATTTCACACCGAATAAAGTGTTTATATTTTTTCTTTTCAATAACCACGGTTTTATTTATTTTTATCGGGTGTTTTAAAAAATGGTTGAGCAATATTCCCCCAGTTATGGAGGATCACTGCAGACGACGTAGACATTTGTATAAACGAAATCTGCGGGGGTGGGGGGTGTACTCGTGTGGGAATATCTGTTCGGTCAGATTTTCTTTCATTTGGCAAACCATATGGCTGTTTATCAAGGTGCAGCCCTGAGACTTGCAACTTCCCTCTCAAAAGGCAGAAGTTGAAAGACATATGGCCACCGGCAGAATATCGACAACGAATGGATAATTATAGAAACAAATCTGCAACATAAAAACATGTTCAAACTGACCGATTAAAAAAAAAGAAAATACTTGGACAATATTTGAAAAATTTATGTGATGATCATCTTATTCTTATATTTATTCTTATATATTTTACTAAGAAATAAGGGAAAAAAACAGGAGATAATTCAGTACATAAATTCTTTGAAAGAGAACACAGAATAACGTATACAATAAAAGAACCAAAGACCACTTTTGAGCACTCTAACGCATAAACATAGTATACCTTCAAACTATATGTTATCATATATATATATATATATATATATATATATATATATATATATATATATATATATAAGACATATAGTTTGAAGGTCTGCTATATTTATAGGATAAAGTTCTCAATATCAAAGATAGAGTGTATGTAAATATAAAAGTGAACATTGAAGTCAACCACTGACCAGTATATATAAATAGTCGTGAAAAACACAACGCATGCGTCTGTCTCCTCTAAGTGTTGACTTCAAGGGTCACTTATATATATATATATATATATATATATATATATATATATATATATATATATATATATATATATATATATATATATATATATATATATATATATATATATATATATATGTATGTATATATATATATGTGTGTGTGTTTGTGTGTGTGTGTGTGTGAGTGTGCATGTGTGTGTAGGTGGGTGTGTGTGTAGGTGTGAGCGTGTGTGTGTGTGAACAATATATAGGCCGTATTAATAGTGTGTAAGGCTATTGATGAATGTAAAATAAACCATTGGTTTGCATAAAGTCGATATTTTATACAACTAAAATGGATAAAACATGTAACTCGGGAAGAAAATGATATCATCAAGATGTTGACGTTCCACACGACTACAAGGAAGGAATCATCCATCAATTCTGCGATAAGGGAAAGCAGTTACTGGACTTGAGAAATCGAATTCCCTGAAAATTGTGTTAATAGAAATATTCGATGCAGATGGTAGCACTGGCTGCTCGGTTAATGAATGCTGAATGTTTCCTTATAAGAAAACGGTTAATATTATCATTATCATTAACCTTATGATCCTACTCGTAAGAATAAGATCACCAGGAAGCACCCCCAAAACATGAAACAAAAAACAGGAACAACTGCGAAACGTAGGAAGGGTTGAGGCTATTATTAATTTTTGATAAGTATTGATTTCCTCTCAACCAACTGTGGCGTCATGGATATGGCCTCGAAAAATGCAACTGGAGATCCGATTTCAAATTCCAGCTGAGTTTGTTGCGTTCACTTTTGCACTAATATCCTTAAATATACATGAAGCATTTACTTCTTCCACCACTAGTTATAGATTAAACTCTAGCCAGGAATCTCTAGCCTTGATTGGCAGTCAGTTCAGGAGAAATACAGGCTTGAATTTAAGACCATGAAAAAAACAACCTGAAACCATTCCCTTGGCTTTCCCATGAAATCATGCTGCAATGCACACGTTGCACAGGTAATTATAAAGAAAAGGGCGTTTGTATAGAAATCATATTCGCCTATTGTTATAACGCGTTCGTCTAACTCTCATAGTTGCTATTTAGTCAGACTATAAGGAAAATTCTGGAAAGAAAAGTTGAGTGAAAAAGGTTTTAATCACATGAGAACATGTATTGGAAATGAAATAGTTCTGTGCGATAAGTGTACTTGCCACAGTTCCATTAGCAGATGAAGTTCAAGACGTTTATTCTTCTGAACTTAGAAACAGATAATAAACGCCATACGTTAGTGAGAGCTATCCATTTAATATAAGGCCTTTTACTACTATCAGGGGTTCAGTCTTCAGTAAAAGCCACCCACTTATGGCCTTAAAAGTAGATTAAGTGACTCATTCATTTATTCAGTAAGTGCATTTTGCACCGCTGTGGTCACCACTCCCCTCCATCTCACAATTGTGGTTCATGGTGACATTCAAGGCAGAATAGTGCAATGGCTTGCCTGTTCCTTTTGCACCGGTTGAGGTTACTCCGTCGCTTCTCTCAGAAGTTAAAGAGGCAAGACCTACAAAGTAGCAGGTGGTTTGAAGTCAAAGTTTCGAGCACTTTCCAGACTATATGACCGCCTTCTCGGCCGTACCAGCAAATATTCCAAGAAATGCAGGATATTACGTGTTTGGTGACGGCTTTGCTGTAGAAGAGTTGCTGGAAAGTTGTCGGTGTTGAAACCAACGGCCTTCGGGACACCACTCCGGGTTTTCTGCCTGGATTTAATCCCATAGCCTTTTCCGGGTTTTGTATATGGCCGCGGATGTTTAAAATCAGGGTTTTCCTACCCCGAGATGAACTGTCGAGAAACATCTACCAAAGCGCTACTTTTCCGCTTTCGCCCATTCTCCGGCATGCAGCTGAACTTTGTTGTCAGAGGCTATTTGAGACACCTGCTACGAAAACATTTTATAGAACGTGGGAGCATGTCCCCACTATCAAACCCGGATATGACAACCTTTGTATGTATATAAACATTATATACGTTACATGTTTTAGAAGCTTCAAAAAATTAATGTTTTTTTTTAATACATATATAAAACTTTAGGAAAATAAAAACACTAGAAAACAAGACAACTGACGAAATTACATAAATAAACACACACAAATATCGAAAAAGATAGCAGAAAGAAAAATGAAAATATATATCGGGATTTACACCTAAAATACTCGGAGATTATGAAGTCATTATTTAACATAAAAATAAAATAATTCATACGGCCTTTTTGTCAGTAATGACACGTAAATTATCAATTGATAAAAAATGAACAAGAGTAGAAAATGGCAACTTAATAAATACAACTTTATTTAAGCAAAACCAGAAAGTAAAAATAAAATAAACCATCTTCAGGTTAGTTGTACAAAAACAAATAAATACTAATACAGAAAAATAATAAATAATACATATATAACTTAAAATAAATATAATAATAATGATGTATATAATAAATTAAATTAAAAAAATAGCCATTGAAATTATATTAAATTATTATATTACTTTTAAGCAAAAGTTACGTTTTTCAGTTAAACTTAAAAATCCGTTATTTTTTTGGCGCTTCGACAAAACGCGTCAGCTTTTCTTGATTTCAGAAATTGACTCAACATGTGACTCACTAAGCTTTAAAATGAGTAGTGAAATGCTCTGTAGCCTTGTATAGCAGCCAGTCTAGGAGGTGGAATACGCTGAATTCTTAACCGTGAAGAAAACCGGAAACTATTCCAATTGCCTTTCATAAGACGCAATAACAATTAGCAAATAATAAAGAAAAGAAATCTATGAATGGTATCGTGGAAGCTTCCACCAAAGCCCAGTCTACCCGTTTATTTAAACCATAAGCACTTATCCTTTATTCTATTTAATTGTTTACTACCATGTCTCTTCAGATCGCAGATTGTGACTCTTCATAAAATTCCTTTTAAACATGTGCGTTTTTCCATGACTAGTTGAGAAAAATTGTGAAGTACTTTCTTCTTGTCTTCTCCATGTTTTTGATTGATTCGTTTTCTATGGGGTTTTTCAGGTTATTTAAAGCCAGAAAATACCTTTAGATTGTAAGTTTGTTTTTCAGATATTAATGGCTTAGTGATACAGGTCTTCCTAATTAACCCATAGCTGAGGGGAGAAGATATGGATTCGTACATTTCTCGCGGTTATTTGCGCGTAAGTGAAAGTAGCAAACTCAGCGAGAATTGGAACTCGATTCTCTAACAGTTACGACCATTATCAATTACACCACCCACACATCCAAGTTTACAGCACTTGGTATTCCTAAGCGCTCATCCATCTAGGTACTGTCCAGGTTCGACGTTGCTTAAATGATGTT